TCCAACGTATTTTGTCCTTATATTTGTCCTTATTTCATTTTAAAAACACATCAACAACTCGTGGTGTTTTCCGCTTAATTCACATCGTTCAAAATCCGATTTAGTTTCCAGTCCTACTAAACTGTAACGCAACGTTTCAGCGTGTTTCTATATAACTGTATGAAAACATGGGAAATTCCTCGTCTCGCAGCTATGCTTTTGATACTTAAACAAAACAATCTAAATACGCGCTGTAATCTAAAAGTGTGAAAATACTATTTTTAACAACAAAACTAAGAAACCAAAAGGAGCGAGAATATGAGAATTCACGGTCAATGGACCATTTGCATTATAAGGTGTGCGAATCCGATCCGAATCCGATCCGATCGGATTCGGATCGGATTCGGACAGTAAATTACTCGGATCGAATTTCGTTTTGTTTCTGTCGGATCGGATCGGATTTTGCAGGTTTTTTGTCGGATCGGTTCGGATTTGATTTTTCTTGTATCACGTCGAATTATTCGAATATTTTTACAAATTGAGAAAGTTCTATATTCTGCAGCTGTATTCCACTTTTTACGTTACAAATGGCATCAGAATTCAAAATGGCTTTGAGCATAAAAGTAATTCCATAATCCATATAGTCCATACAAACTACAAACTACAAAGTCAAAGTAACGTTTTGCTCGCTCGCGAAATCGCGAATAACGAATGCCATTATGCCACCCAATCTCCCCTCGGGCCTCGGCTATTCAAAAACAGCACAACGTAAACGTTGTAAATGTAAACCAAGCTCAAGCTCATGATTTATTATACTGAATAAAACATTTTTGACTAGTTGGGTTTTTTTTCTATGCTAATTCTAATAAAATATAAACTGCTGTTACTGTGTACTGTAAATGTGAACGCTATAAGGCATAATTATGTGATATCGCCCTGCAATTTTTATCGGATTCGTATCTGCTTATTTTTGCTAGAAATTCATTATTTCCAATATATCGTTTATGATCATGAAAAAATACGTTTATAATAATTAACGCACGCTGTACAGCGTACACAACTTAAGTTCGGATCGGATCGGATTACGAATTTTAGCATCGGATCGGATCGGATTTTATAAACATTGTTTCGTATCGGATCGGATCGGATTACTTTTTTCATCTTCGGATCGGATCGGATTCGGATTGAGAACTTAGACAAACCATCGGATTGAGAGAGGTCAATCCGATCCGACGCACACCTCTATTATAGACTAAATTTTGGTCTAGACAAGAATTTGCTTGAAAGAGCATCACAAAATTAGTAATATTCCAAAGTTTCGTTGCGAAATGTTGTAAAATGCGGATAATATAGCCTTGCGAAATTTGCAATTTTCAGTCATTTTGTATTACAAACGGAAATTGATGCTCCAACACCCGATTGGGCTATCAATTTCCCGTGCGTAATACAAAATGACTGAAAAACGGCAAACTTCGCAAGGCTATATCATCCGCATTTTACAACATTTCGCAACGAAACTTTGGAATATTACTAATTTTGTGATGCTCTTTCAAGCTGTGATGAAATTCTTGTCTAGACTTGTCTAGCTCAAAATTTAGTCTATAATGCAAATGGTCCATTGACGAGAAAAGGCCGGCCGACAACCAATTGAGTCAATTATGCTGAGCAGGGCCGTCCTCAGGAAATTCTTCAGGGGGGTGTAATTCAATTCAACCGACTGGTTCAAAAAAATTTTTCCGGAACAAAATTTTTTGGTCGACCTCCCGCCCCCGCCCGTCGCCAAAAAGATTTCGGTCAGTGTACCATTTTAGGGGTCCAAAAATTTTTCCGGACGTACAAAAATTTTCCGGAACATTCAAAAATTTTCCGGACATAACAAATTTTCAACATTTTTTTACATTTTTCCAAAATTTTTGCATATTTCCTCAAAATTTTCCTAAAATTCCCACCGCGTTCTTGCCCTTTGCGCCAAAAATATTTAACCCAAATAGTAGTTCTACCGACTGAATAGCAGTCCTGCCGACTGAATACAATTACTGGGGGGGTGTCACACCCCCCCCTCCCACACACCCCCGTAGCTCCGGGCCTGATGCTGAGGTAGGCCTAATGGGAATTTCTAAATTAATCGATATAATAAATGGCTACAAAAATGTTTCTTGTGTTATATTATAAAAGAAATAGAAAACTTTCCGAACCCCCATGCGTGTTTCTATAAGTTATAACAGTTTTGAAACAGGGAAAAAGTTTTCTATTTCATAAATATTAATCCAGTGAATATTAATGTTGTAAGCGGACTATTTGTAAAAAAGACAGAACACTCAGTTTTGATGCATATAACAAATTAAAGCTTTATTTCAAAACTAAGTATTACATTTCTGATGATCATTCTAAAACTATTTATTTATTGTAACTATGTAAGCTTTGGTTGGTATCATTAGCGTGTATAAAGTTCCAGTGGTCCAATGGTAGTCAAATGTTTAGTTTTGTATTTGTACAGCATTTCTTTTACAGCATACTGCAGTGATTACTGGCGCTTTTTTCGATTTCATCACAAAATCATAACCACAGCTGTCTTTACTTATTGCGCATCCTTGGCCACCATAAGCTTGGCTTACTTTACATCCACGTACACCAGTTCCTTGACATCCAACTGCAATTTCATCTTCGTTACAGGCTGCTGTTTTCCCAGATTTCTTTATTTTTCTGCACTCTGACATGTTTAAAAATATTCATAAAATGTAGAAACTTATTAATATATGAGGCAATGTTTTAATTCTTTCTCACGTGGACACCGTATTTTGAAGATTGTGAGAATTTCGCTTGATAGCACTATAACACAACTTGAATGGTTTTTGTGGATGGTGGAAATGTGTATCCTAGATGAAAATTTCCAGCGAAAGATTATAAGCCATGCATTACATACAATTTTCAGACCTAACCAGGGGCAGCTTAGCTCGCTGGCTAGGGGCAGCTGAGAAAAAAGCAACTAGACCCTGTGCCCTGTGGCAGAAATCAAACCTGCGGCCTAGCGATTCCGGTGCAGCGCTCTAACCAACTGAGCGACAGAGTACAGTTGACGAGCATTAACTATGCAATATAAGCATTCGAACTTCAGTTAGTATAATTTTCTCTTTGGCATGCCATCTAAGATCTCTTCATTTTCGCAATATTTTACAGATAAAACAATAAACATACTTTTTAAGTTTGTTCGCCAATCTCGAAACGTATATATAAAATTTTGAATGTCATACTGACCAAATAAGTGATTCAAATAACTACCATTCCAAATGTTCAAGGGTTTTTGGTATTGGTCAGGTACATGTATTTTCAACCTTACCTTTGAAACAGACTTTTTTGGTGTCTTCAGCTCTATCTATATATAATTTAAAAACGTTGCAATCTTTTGAAATAATTAATAAAGCATTTTAAGGATTTTTATATATCGTACTTGATTCTTGAAGTATATTGATTTAAAACAATAGTGAGATGTCCGTCATCTTGGACTATTCATGCACGATATGCTACTTATTTCACTGTGGGACGAATGATCAGTCCAAAACTCGGTTTTGGTCATTTTGAATTTTTGAAAACAAATTTTGATATTTACTCGGTCAGTTAGGGGCAATTTTGCCTAGCACCACTCTAGACGTCATCAAAACCATAAGGTTAAGAATTAATCCAAGATGGCGGCAGTTTATTATTAGTTCAGTGAAAATGTTCCAATTTAGTTAAGCTTGATATAAAAATCTGCAACAAGATTAATTTAATACATTATTTTAATTAAATGTTTTTTCAAATGAGACAAACTAAATTTTTAGTTCCATTTTGCTTTTAAGGTTTCATCATATTGGGGATTCACATGCATCATAGAAATAATCCATTTTTTAAGCATCCTTCCTGGACTCATGGAAACCCATGACTGTGTCTTACTGGACTTAAGGTTCTGCCTTACCAGATCCAGGATTTCCTGAGTCTCCCTTACTGCTTGATTTAGTTTTCTTCTTGCTGTCTTCAGGGTACTGATCAGGTTCATTATTTTCTGCAAGACTCATCTCACTGGATCCCGGGAATAGCTCTTCCCAATTGCCGAATTGACGTTTCTCCAACGGTTCTGAAGCTAAGAAAACATATTTTATTCGACGAGCCCGCTGTAACGGGCCGTTTGTTTTCAACATGCACTTTTATTTTTTCATTGCTGTTATATTGTATTACTGCTGGGGCATACAAACTGAGTGAATTTGATGTTAAATTCCAAAGAAATCATTCGAGAAATGATGCAAGTCGTTTTAATTTTTTTTAATCAGTCCCATAATTAGTTAGAAATCAAGTGGTGACTGATAGCTCTATTTTTTCCAATTTACAATGATCTGTGCAAGTGTAGGTAGTGCCAATAATAAGAAAGCCTCGGACTGATGGGAATGCAACTTTTGAAAAACACAAGGAGAACCCTCAACGTTTCGAGCGAAGCCCTTCGTCGGGAAGTTAATTGGTAGCAGGAGTATATGGAAAATTACATGAGCTTGTACACTAGTGAATATAAAAGCGACCATGTGACAAAAGATAAGCCAATCAGATGGATTTGGTTAAGACAAAGTGTAAATACAAAAAATACAGAAACAAGTATGGAATAAACTGGTAATTAAGAATGTTTTACATAATATAGTACTCAATTCTGATTCTCTATTCTTTTATTAGGGATAATTTCAAGAAAGAATGCATTTGATGATTTGAAAGATTTGGTATCTAATTGATTATTTAAACCTTAATTTAATTAAAGGCATTCAAAGAGTCATCATGTCAATTATGAATTTGACATTAGTTACAAATATTTATTAAAGTTCAGGTATTATAGGTTAATTAAGATGTGAATTCGGCATTCGCGTACATGTATATGAGATCTGTTTACATTTTTCTATACAAATATAATGAGTTTGTTATAATTAACGAAGTACTGAAATAAATTGAAACTATGTATTATCAACGATAAATTAGTATTTAGGCAAATGGCCTTTATAATCTGGTGAATCAAAATGTATGATTCTGTATATGGGGGCGGTCATAAGCACATTCACATCTATCAGATATAGTTTTGAATACATTGACATATATGGGTACTTATTTCAGCATAATATTACTGCCTGCTGGTGAAAAAATTCTGCGTACGGCCCTGATCTAATTAAATCGCGACTGGAAACTTCAATGTACGCGTGCGCAGAACGAACCGCAACGAATTCTTAACAAACGGGTTCAAAATTTGTCAACAGGAATACTGAAAAGAATTTACTCTTATAATATATTTACTTACAACACATGACGACCATGGCAGTCATACCAAGAAGACACAGAATAGCTCGATTCATGGTTGCAAAGTTGCGCTAACGCTTCACGTTACAGTGTTGAAACAGTTGTAACTTATGCTTGCTCAAAATTCTCACTCTCTTTTATACAATACGTGGTCTGAAATTTTAATTATTTTTTTGCTGGGAGAAATGTTGTGAAAACTACAAGAAATTCTTTAAATAGCTGTCATTTGAATGACAATTGATCCCTTCTTTTTATTCTTCAAGTTTTTTTTTTTTGTTTTCTTGGCTTACGCAAAATAATCATTGAAAGCAAACTAGTAAAATATTACATGAATTGAACTACCTTAGCCAACGCATTAATATTTCCTTGTGTACTGTACAAAAGCATATATACATTACGTGTTTTTTTGCGTGGAGATGTTGTTGATCAACTATTATGCTTATCAACTTTCAAGTGTTTTGTCATGCAGTAAAGCTTAAGCTAGTTACGCAAAATTCTTAAAGAAACAGTATCTAATTAATAATTGTCATGCACGTATACTTGTCAAGCAAGTTTCAAGTGGTATTGAACTATAGTTGCGCAATATTTTAAACCAAAGATATTTCGTCTTTCATTTAATTAAATTGCGACAACTGAGTATACAATAACTGAACTTACAGTTATATTGTCTGATTTGGTTCTCACATTGTCCGAGATTATTAAGTGTTTCGTGTCACGATTACTTGGCATCAACTCAGTTACATTTTTTGGTCCACTTTTGTCTTACTTCGTTAGAGTCATCTATTTGACTTTAAAAAGCCTGTAAAGCCACTTATTATAATTTAAATTCGTACTTATTATGATACATAGGCTCGAGTTTAGTCGATCAGTATTACTCTGAAGAAGCCATAACACAAGAAATGCATTCAAACTACACAAAAATCGTAGTAACTGTGTCAAACATTCCCTTCCGCACAAGCGAGAGTGTTGATATTTTGAAGAATGTTGACGGCAAATTTAAAGGAAATATATAGAACATATAGCGCTTTTAAGAAAAAAATAAAATTATACTGCAAACTTCCTGAACAATGACAGAATTACTTATGTCGTTATGATAGTTTTAACTTTATTATACTATATACTTTACTGCTCAATAATAATTTATTTTGTAAGATATACTAAGCCGTTTTGGGCGAAGAATTTCAAGTACAAAATAAAGTTTTTAAAAACCGCGTTCTCTTATATTAAACAATTGTAATTTTCTCCATGCTAGTTTGGAATGCAACCTAATATATATGCTAGTTGGAATGCATGCCGATAAGCATTCCAAATTTCAGGACAAATTAGCTAAGTTAAATGCTTGCAAGCACATGAATTCTCGTTTTACCTTGAAAATTATCTATTAAATCTTAGACACGAGTGTAAATGGGATGGGGGGAATGTATAATGACCTATTTATTTCGTATAACTTTTTAACCAAATTCTAAACGCGCTTCTATAGACCAATGAACCAGGAAACACTTCAGAACACGTCATGATTTCGTATTGTTACAAGCAAAAACAAACGTAATGTTGTATGGTTTTAGTTGCATAAGGAGTTAGTTAATACAGGCACATAATTTTTGCAATGGCAATGCACCTTCCACAAACATTCACGTAACTAGGTAAAACAGGAACCGCATGAGAATATAGTAAGTGCAGATTAAGTACTATTCTTTGTGTGCATGAACATGACATCGTATGAATCGTACGCCATCTAATTGGTTCTATATGAGCCATGCGCCATTCTAACGTTTGCTTTAATCGTTAGAGTGAAGCAGCTGATCGAATTGATTCTGACTATTCCATCTTTGTTTTTAAAAAACACGCCGCTATATACCGTATTGTGTTACATTTCTATGGTTCCTGACTCGATATATACGACCACAATTATGAAAATTAATTCGTATTCAAAATTTCCCCCCTCCCTTTTACGATATTGGCTTTGGGTCCAAACATCATGGCTTAAACCAACATTGCGGTACTATAGGGGGGGGGGGAGGGGAGGGGGGTTACTATTTTCTAGCAATCATGGTTGTCATGTAGTATTTACTAAAAATAAAATGACTTTACAAAATAGTAAGACAACATACGGTTTAAAGAAGTCTATCAATACCGAATACAATTTTCAATACCGAATTTATACTAGACAGTTATAGAAACATGCATGCATGCATGGAATTCAAGAAGTTTTATAATTCTTTTTTGATATGAGCACAAGAAACATTTTTGTAGACATTTTCTATATTGATTAATTTACAAATTCTCATTACCTCAGCATAAAATTCACTCGATTGGTTGCCGGCCTTTTCTCGTCAATTTGACCGTGAATCGTCATATATTTGCTCCTTTTGTTTTCCTATAGTTTTGTTGTTAAAAATAGTAATTATATTTTTTTAGAATATTACAGCGCGTATTTATGTCGTTTTGTTTAAGCATTAAAATCATAGCTGCGAGACAAGGAATTTCCCGTGTTTCGTATAGTAATAGCATGGTTTCGAGTGCAAACCTGCACAAGGTCCTACCTCTACTACCCTGCCATATCAGGTGTACCTCAAGGTCCATCCTCGGTCCAGTCCTATTCAGCCTCTATGTCAACGACCTTCCAGATACAATTACAATTACATCTAGTCATGTTGCTATGTTTGCTGATGATACAAAACTGTTCAAAAACAGCAAGTCCATCAAAGACAGCGAACAGCTTCAAAACGATCTCAAACATTTAGAAACGTGATCTGAAAAGTCTGGTCTCAATTTTAATGAAACGAAATGCAAGACACAACGTATAGCAAGAAAGATAACACCAATACATTTAATTACAAACTTAACAACGGAAACTTAGAACATACTGAATGTGAACGAGA